CCCCCATATGATATGAGTCTATAACTTTGCACCAGAGTTACGATCCCCAGTGTGGTTTCTGGCGGATTTTCTTGTGGGTTTATTCAGGGGAGTGATTGCAGCGCATGTGGAGAAGCAAGGAGGAAAATGTAGGGCTTTGACCATGAGACTTGCTAGTAAGGGAAGATGGTGCACAGCAGGATAGATCGATTCTTATTTAGATGAAAATGAGGCTTGATGCTTGTGGGGTGAGAGGAGGGCAGCTTTAGCATCCAAATGAGTAAAGGTTTCACAGAAATTGTTCTTAAGTGATTCACTAACAACAATAATAATAATTTTAAAAAAAACTTGACAAAGTCAATGACAATGGTTTTGCTTACAAAGGAAAACAATCTTGACAGTGACACAAAAAAAAATACTTAAATGTCCTACTTGGTAAAAATTACATTATAAAGTTACACTGTGGATTTTTAGAGGTCCACATGTAAAATGCATGCAATTGGGAAAACTCTACGAGGTAGTTTACATGTTAAGCTTCTCGTTTAACTTGACTTTGACTTCTTAAAAGCCCATGCGCAGAGCAACAACTGTTTACTGGATTTGCTGTTTTTGTTGTCTCTAACTTTAGATTGATTAGTTACAGATTGCAGTAGATGGATAGCAGGAGAGTCAGCATAAATAGTCAGTTTGGTCATACTCCCTCATGCACACCCATCATCTCCTCTCAGTCTAACAGAGCTGGCTGCTGCTCTCCTCCACATCCATTCAGTCTGCCATTCGTCTCGGAAAGCTGTCTCTGTGATCTGAGTGATAAACAACATCAGAATTGCCCAGTTTGCAAAAAGCAAGGACACTTGTTTTCAATCTGCTGTCAACGTTTTCATACTGAAAACTGATGGGATGTTTCATTCATCAAGGGTATGGGACAGTATCCTGAACTGTTTTGCTCTGGGACTGAGCACTTCTGGAAATTGGCACAGTTTGCACACACCTATGAACGTCAGTGACTTTGCATAACTTATGTTAGTTGCATAGTTAGCAAGTCTATACAGGTACAGCAGCATTTTCCTGCTATTTTTACACGTAGTCACCTAGGTTGGGGATCTGCAAAAATAAGTATATTTTTGGTTGGTCAAAGGCTGAGGTTTTGTCTGGACTATGAAAGTTGATGTAACATTCTTATATTAGATGTACAAAATATTATTTCAACTATGTATAATCAGGCTTCTATTTTATTTTGCAGCATTCAAATCACAGTTTTGGTTTACAAGTAGATTTCACAGCGTAATATAATCGTAAATTAGATCTAATATTTGCATATGCGGTGGGAAATGTTTCGAGACAGATTTATTTTTTTCTGTCTAAAGATGCTCTCGATTTATAGTTTATCATTTACCCACCCACAAGATCGCGCTCTGTGGTGCTGTGAGTTTTAATGGTCAAAGCGACGTACACCACTCCGCTGAAGAACATCCCACATACTCATCAACAACAATGGCAAACCGTAGTCTGTTTTGGTAACACTTTTTTTTTTTTATAGGAGCAACAAGGTTTGAAACTGTGTGTGTTCACACCTGATATAACCCCTAAATTACCGCGCTATTTTTAAAGACGCGTATGTTCGTTTGTGGCTACATTTTCGTTATACATTTTTCCTGAAAATGTGCGAGGCGCTCACACAGGCTGTGCATGTGTGTCCCTGCTGCCTTTCTGCTGGGCTACTGCTGCTAACCTAGCTGCTTCTTTTTACACGGTGGTTAGCCTCCGTTAGCCTGGCCGCGTTTATTAACTAGTAGAAGAAACAAAAGATACAGACGAATGTAAAGCTTGTTCGTGCTATTTGATTTGCGAAAACAACCCCAAACTAATCGCCTATTGTCGCTGTCGGGTAAGGGAATAAGTGTTGTATGATTTATCGTGGAAAACACTTTGCTGGCTAGCTAATAGGCTAGCTATTTGATTGTGTTCGTCGACTGAGGAAAACGGCGAGTTTTCTTTGAAAGTATGGATGATCAGACTAGGATGCTGACGGGTCTCACCGGACTCGGTGGACTATCACAGCCCGATGTCGGTGATCCGGACTCGGTCCGGAAACAACAGTCCCTCGGTCAGCCGCAACAAGACATTGGAGATATTCTACAGCAAATAATGGCCATCACCGACGAAAGCCTGGACGAAGCACAGGCCAGGTAAGACTTGTGAAGAGCCATTTTCCACTCATGATAGCTAAGCTAAAGTCAGTTTTTTTTTCTTGCGTGATTTAAAATTAAGATAGTTTGTTATTGAGGGATTAATGTAACGTTACACTGCGATGTTAATTTGCACCAAAGTATGAAAGTGAATGTACATTTTGTGCCTGCATATACTGAACATATTCGGAGTCCACTGTAGAGTGTGGGTATTTGTAAAACAAGAGAAATAAAATACAATCTTGTTGCTGCAAATTACATCACATTGAATACTTGTAATCTGTAAACATACTGGCTTGGTAATAGTAGCCGATCCTCTGTACTAATTAGTTTACCAACGAAATATTAAATCAGGGGAAAAAAGTCTATGATAGTATTACATTTTGGAGGGTGTCGGGGGTAAAAGAAAATACATCCAAAACTATTTTTTTTTTACTTTTTATTTAGTGTTAATTTACCTGTGTACGAAGAAAATATGAATTTTAAAGTTTTAAAAACTTTTCATCAAATCTAAACTATTGAGAAGTAGCAGCTTTGTTAAACATTATGAAAAATTAGCATATAAAAAGAACGTTAGTAAAACTATAATCGTTCATATTATTGAAATAATTTTTACAGCTTGTTTAGCCAAAAACAACTTTTTATTTACAGTCCAAAATAGTAGTAATAACCCCAGGAATCAAACTGTAAAGTGGGGGAACAACCCCCACATAAAGTTAAGATCAAGCATCACCCAGTCCTGCATGTCTGTGGTGTTTGTGATGTCATTTATTTACGACTCTTGTTTTTTAATGGAATGTTTGTATTAGAAGTACTTTATCTATACTTATTGACAGCATGTAGCCCACTGAGTGACTGACTCGCACTCATTTGCCATGTGGCTCAAAGAGCGTAAGGTCAGTTTCAAATGAAGCGTCAGTATTTCAACAATAGACAACCGTCCACTGCAAGACTGTGGCCACAGTGTGATGTGTCATTAGCTAGTGATTTTCCACCCAACATTTGACCACCTGGTTCTCTTAATTAATTCACTCCTTTCACTCCCTCCCTCGCTGGTGTTCATCCTTTTCATTGTGTGCTGGGTGCAATCAATTCTCCTATAATGTGTGCGCGAGTGCAGCTGTCCGCAAATCGAGTTTCTATTAATGAGATGGTGGTGAGGGGGAGGAATGATGCTATACTGGCAGCCTATGAATGTTGAGATATTACATTTTCTTGACTACTACTTTGGAGAGTTCATCACACCCTCATGGCACAATTAATTTTGCGTTAAAATAGCTCTTGCTGATGTTTCAGTTTCATCTGTTGTATTTCAAGTTTGTGCTGACAACAGGCAACGGCGGAACTGCTGTGAACTTATTTAGCTAAATTATTCGTATTTATAAGCACAAAAACAAATCAGCTGCACAGCAGAACGTACTACATTGGTACTTACTTGTGAAGCATCGTAGGAGTTACTTTACACACACACCTCCACCGTACTTTATATGTACTCTATCATTGTACTTGGAAAACAAAATTACAGAAGTGCTCTTGTGACACCGTGCATTTGACTTTTTACTAATTTACTTGTATTTTTCTTTTTTTTTTTTTTTTTTTGAGAAAATTCCAAAACATAAGCAACTTCAACACTAAACGGTGAATGTTGTTACACATGGAGGTCCTAATAAATACTAAATGACTTGCATTTTATCGTCTTTTTGTCACTGTATATGTCAATCATTTCCTAGGTCAGGATGATCTACGTTTTAATGTCTAAAGCTGTTCTTACGGTTACATGACATCCCTGTCATGTAACGTGGCAGTCGATCAGGATAGGGAGTGGTCAGGGTAGCACAAGAAGTTGGTGTTGCAGAGTACCCTTCCTGCGCACCATCCACCCTCATCCTCTCACCGTGTCACCATATGCTCAGATCCTGGCCAGAGGAATCGCCAGCGCATTGGGGTGGATCAGACGACCCCACAGAGGGAGGGAGAGCAGGGGGGGGCATGGCAGGGGGTGGCCTGCCACTCAACTTCCAGCACAGGTCAGTACTGGACCGCATGCACACCTTCTTCTCCCCCCCTCCTGCTCATACCCTCCATGGTGAAGACAGCCCTCCCCCATCTCAAATTGAGCAGTGACAGATTTTGTGGAGGAAGTTGACATTTAGTTCTAGACACATATTTTATTTTATTTTATTTATTTTTTTGCCCCCCCTCAAAACTCTCGCAGAGAGGCATTCCTTTGGACTGGGTCTTGTAGGTGCCACTTCCCTCTTTTAAAACTGCAGAGGATGTTTACAACAGAAATTGGGAGTTGTGGTTAGACCAGGTGTAGCAAGTTCATATTCATCACTGGTTGCTATCCGTTAGCTCTCTGTGCTTCACGCTGTTTCAAAAAAGAAATGGTTCATTTTTTTAAATGTTTCTTTTTTGCATGTTTTTTTTTTCTCCATACCAGGCATTATATTGATTTTCATGGTTTTCACCAAACGTATACTTGTGTTTTTCCTAACCGCATATCAGTGTTGTTACCTAAGAAATATTGCTGTTTCCTGTTTAAAAGCAGCAAGACTGAACAATACAATAACAGACAATGGGCAGGTTTTCATTCACAGGGTCCAAATCCCAAAGGATTTGGCTGCAGACCTCGCTGCTCAAGCACCTTTCTGTCACCTCACTTTTCAGGCCCCTCACTTGATCTCCCTCCTCAGAACTGTAAACCAATCCAAATATAGAACATATATATATCCGATTAAGTAAACTTTAGTGACAGTTGCATTGCAACAGGCTTCAATTTTTGTCCTATTATGTAAAATAAATTCACATTGACTCACATGTAGATATTGACTTAGTTGGATGTTTTACATAACTGGAAGTAGATTAAGGGATTTGTCTTTGAAAGCCAGACTGAAATTTTAAACTCTTCATGCTAAATTCACCATCAGTTAAAATTGAATACGTGTGGCACCATGCGCTATCATTTGCAGACAGCCTTTAAATAAATTGTTGTGGTACACTTGGTGGTCCCTGGTGCCAGTCTCCTCTACCATCGTCGTGACTATTTGTAATGGCAAGCTTTACCTGGGTTGTTGTCCAGGAGTTACAGCTGTTTTGAACAGTTTATCATTATGGCAATAAATATTGATAAGGTTAGGCTCATATCTATTGCCAGAGGCCGTTTCCTGATTATTTTATTATTTTTTTTTTTGGTAATAGTCTAATACCTTGAACTTGGATGACCACATGTAAGATGTTTGAAAGTTTACATCTATAGTGTGAAGCACTAATCCATACAGCAGATGCAGTACACTTGTGTCTAAATTTCAGTGGTTGAACTCAGAGGGAGGGAGTATAGCAGGGCTGGGCAATAAATCAATAACAGCAATATATATCATTTATATAGACGTGTTCAATAGTTCAATCCCGCACGGCATTCTGGGGAATGTAGGCAGAGGAAAGGCTTTAACTTCTCAACCTCTCTTGGTGAGCTAAACTAGGTTTTTGGCATCACTCATTGGTAAGCTAACACTAACCTGTGCAGCAGCAGTCCTTAACGTCTTCAAAAATAAAAAAAACGACTTTGAGTGAAAGGAAAAAATGAACATAATAGCTCGAGAGGAAATTTTGGATAAAACATTAATCGCGTTATCAGTTTGGCAGTGTTTCAGATATTTAAAACAAAAAACCTAACCAATGATCATCGACTGATATAAAATACTTATCGTGATATGTTTTTCAGTCATATCGCCAAGCCCTGGGATATAGAGCTCCTGTAAAGTAATATTTACAGATAATCTCAGCAGCTTTAAAAGTTATGACTTTAAAACATCATTAAAAACATGCACCAGAAAAATCTTTGTAAAACAGATTGAAGGAAATCATGTAAGAAGCCTAGCGCTACTAGTAGCGTTGTGAGAAATGAATTAAAAGAATGGGTGGGGGGGAATAATTTGTTTTGATTAATGGTAATAAGAGCTGTATGCAGTTTATAAACTCACCTAATACATTAGCCACGTTTCAAAAGCCAACCAGTGGCTCCATATTAAGTGGTGCTTCGTTATTTCATGCAAGTGTTCCCAATATTTTACTTTTGGAGTCGAAAAGACATGTTATGAAGCAATTTCTAATTAATTGTTCTGTTTTCCTAGTTCTTAATTTTTTCTCACAGCTCAACAATGTTAGCTAATGGTAATGGTAGATGGTTTTTTTCCACTATTGAATTTGAAATATTGTGACAACCCATTTCACCAGAGAATGGGATTTGAGGCTCTTCTGCTTATGGTTGTAATTAGAGATGCACATTATCAGGAAGATGCATATTTGCAATAATGCTGCTGAAAATTGCGACGGTAATGATTATGATTAATCTGGGTTTCCTTGTTCTTTTTTTTTTTTTTTCTGTACTATTTTCTTTAGTATGAGCTCCAGCATCCCAACCAATAAAAATACACATTCGGTGCATAAAGGCAGTTAGAGTTTCCTTCAAGTGGCCAACTATATTATTGATATGCAGAGTGGGAATGCATGTCACTTAAATTTAAGACTGCACAGCGTATCGCGGATATATCCCCATTGCAATATCAGCGTGTGCAATATTCATACTGCAAAAGACTATTTGGAGTGGAAAAATATATATATTCCAAGTGTATGAGCTTTCATTTTTTTTATGCTAATGTAATATTTATCCACTTGGACAATCTCGCAGCAGCAGATGTTCTTGTTGGACACAAATGATACTGCTCAAAATACTAAAGGTTACAAAGTGATGGGAGAAAGAAAAGAAGACAACTGTCATAAGTTCACAACTGGTACTGTCATCACAATATTTACCAATATTATTGCCATCGCAAGCTCTACTTGAAATGTATTGTCTTGTCAAATATTTGCATACTTGTAGTCCTTGCTTGCGATTGAGATGTTGCGTACTTTTGGGATCCCGTTATTTTTGTGTGTAGTTAAAATAGAAATTCTTGTCCTGAATAAATCATTAAACAAACCTTTAATCTATTTTTTAAAGCTGTTTTAGTGTCTCCTTTTTATTTTATTTTTTCTGTTACAAATTATTTTCTAATAAAAAAAAGTTGTGTTTTACCATTTGGCGTTCAACGAAAGTGTAACATGGGTTACAATTTAGGATATTTTACATTTACACACCAATTGACCATCAATATGCATACGAATGCACCCTTCAAAGCCTGAGGCATGTGTGTGTTAAAAGTTTATTCAGTGATGAATACTGTTTGAGTAGTATTCAAATATGTTACATTGAAAGGTGAAAGTGTTTTGCAAATATTATTTCCATACAAATGTGGCTTTTGAAATCAATTGTCAGCGCATCAAAAAATATTCCAATGTGATGATTTTCCTTGCCGACTTGAAGATTTATGAGTTCGTAAAAGTTATTTATTAAAATGACTATAAAATTACAACATTTAAGATATGATTAATCAGTTTCAGTTGTAAAATCAGACTGAGCTTTTTTAACTGCTAACCTTCATATGTTTCCAACAGTCTCCCTCACAGCTTCAATAACTTCAACTCCCCCCCCCCACTTTTATCCATCAGGCAGTTGTAGCAATTATAAGAATTATAAACCATGGTTTTATTTCCATTGATAACGTCAGAGCTGCCTGGTATTGTTAAGTATGAGCTTTTTATTCACTGCTGTCTCACCTGCGGAGCAGCAGAATGGATCTGCACTACCTGCCTCAGCAGTTTTATATGTAACCCCAGCCGAAGTCGGAACACATGGGTACTTTACTTTTTGATATGGATGACGTTGCTTTTCTGAAGTGATTATGGGTTAATGGGTCGTCTTAACTGTGCATTTGTATGAATTTAAAGGGTTCTTTTTCTACTTGAAGCAAGAGTTTATTCTTGCTGTATATATTCTAGTTTGAATATTGTGTAAATGAAGGGCCTATAGACATAACTCATGTCGTGCGTTGCTAAGGTTTTATTAAATTTGATTATATTGATGTGTCGTCATTTATCTTAGAAACTCAAGCATGCAACTTTGGGGTACTTTGAGGTTTATTGAATTAGAAATGTACAAGACAGAATACTGCTTTTGCGCCTGTCTCAGTGTTATTTAGACACCATAATGAACATTTTTACCTCGAGACAAATGCATATCGAGTGCTCTGCACACTGCTTGCACTGAGCAAAGAGTGAAATCAAACCTGCCACAGCATTCAATTCTTTAATCCTTTTATGAAGTGTCATGGGAGCGAGTATGTTGTTAAATGGAATGTGTTAACCGGATAAGCTGAGGCGATCTCGTTCCTGTAAACTGTAGCGCTTTTATGCATTGATTGCTTTCAGTTTGTTTGGCGATAAAGGTAATTTCTGGTTATATTAAAAATGCATCCTAATCCAAATGGGCTCTGTCAACTCACCATCTAGTTTCATGGATCGAGTACGTCTTCAGCAGGTAGAAATTAGATTACCGCGTATTAACCCTGAAATCAGGTTCTCGGTAATGATGACCTTGAGGTTTGGCATCATTACCTGTTCTTCAGTGCAAAGCGCACTAATGACAATGTTACTCTTGCTAGTTTGGATTGATGCTCCAAGGATGTGTCGATGCTTACAAAGGCATAAAACAGTTCTGTGCGCATAATGCAGACAGCTGCTCTACTACTTTTTATGGAATAGAAACTTGGAATGACTTGAAATGGAGTTCTGTTTACCCTAATCCCACCTCTCTCCTTCTTTGTTTTATTCCCTCTTCTGTCTTACAGGAAGCATGCCCTGAACTGTCACAGAATGAAACCAGCACTCTTCAGCGTTCTTTGCGAGATCAAAGAAAAGACAGGTGAGTCTCTACTTCACTCGGCGTCTTCCAGTGGGCTCTAGTTGTGTGCACCGAGTACTGAGATAAAGAGTGCTTTTTGCCCCAGGTTTTTCAGAGCTTTTTTTATTTTCCCCTTTCCATGCATTTCCCCTCTTAGGACGTTGTTGACTAAAGATTATATTTAATCTTTCTGGATGCGTTAATGCAGCATCATTATTACTATGCACCAAGTTAAAAGCACAGATTAATGTGACCTCTTCCTTTCCTGGAAACAATCCAAACTTTACAGCTGAAACTAATCACATGCTGCATTCCATTTTCCACAAAAACGAAACTTGGAGTGAGTTGGGAATGACATCACACCCAAGTTAACTCCGGTTAACGTAGCCGTACAAGCTGGGATTCAATTATGGCGACGCTCAAACAGCCATTGCTCGTAGAACCTCTTTTGAACGTCGTCTAAGCTGTACTTTCCACATTTTGCTCAGTGTAGAATTGAACTTTGAGTTTTAGACTCATTCTTACAAGTGCGTCTTGTAAAATAAACATGTTGTCACGACAGCTTACCGGTGTTGACTCAAGCAGCTGCCACACTGGATCTCGATGTCAACTTTTTAAAAGTAGGAGGGCGTGCCTGTTGATTTTTCCTACTCTGTAGAACTTTTGAGTTCTGACTACAAATGGAGCGCAGAATTAGTCAGTGTCTTTTGAAACACGAGTAAGACGCCAAAACTAACATCTCAGACTTCACTAGCTAATACGTCAGTTTAGATTTACATTTGAACCTGAAGCAGAAAGGTGCAGAATAGTTCTAACTTTTTGGTAATTGGTAAATATTGGCTCACTACAAAAATCGTATAACGGTGATATTGCTAAAAATGATAACTTTAGCAATAAATACACATTTTTAACCACTCCTTTGCATCTATCCCTACAATGCTTTCAACTCTCTTTCACCTGTAGTTTGTTATACATTGCATCTATCTACCCAGCATTCAACAGGCTGGGTCTATTTTTGGCATGCAAAGCATTGGCATATAAATACTCCACTTCCAATAGCCTTTTGCAATATCCATGTTGCACAGACTGTGTGAAAACAGTTTTATGTGATATAACATGTATGCCTATCAGCAGTTTCACTTTATGGAGAGAGGGGAACAACTGCGCAACAGAACATGATCCAGGTCCATATACTGTTGTCTTAACATCAGGTGGAAAAGACATACTCTTGCATTATTAATATCTAGTCTAACTGTTGAGAAATGCATATCTCTACTTCTGTTGATCACTGTAAATTGGGAAATGTAGCCAATTTTAAGCAATGCAGGAGCGCCTCTGTTGGGAATTCAAGTCGGTTTTTGGATAGATTGTTTTGGTGCGGCTGGATATGAATGGCAGATTGGTGGTTATGGTTGTGTAAATGGGTTGGGTTTGCAAAACCCTCCAGCTCCTCTATGCTCTTGTGCTGTATGCTTTCTTCTCTCACTGTCCTTGGCTAACTGTAAGTCTCTCTTGTTCAAACACAATTTGAAAACACTGCACTGCTGTCTGTTGTGGCCCTCTGTCAATAATGTATTATTGCTCTCTAGTGATTGGAGGGAAGTAAAGGCTAGGCCTGAGAGATTGGGGCTGGGTACACTGTTTCCCAGGCAACCAGTGGTCTTATTTACCCTAATGCCATTCACTTTGATTTTCACATTTGGTCTCCCAGCAAACTAGACAGTAGAACCTGTGAGTACTTGTACTGTGAGCACAAGAGAATAGCTCACTAAGAATACAGTTGGGTAAATACTGGAGCCATACTTAAAGTATTCCAGTCACGAAACGCAAAGACTTTGGCTTTGCTTGTACTCTGTTGGCCATCTGCCATGTAGCTCCCTAACTGCACTGTGTACCTGCTTTGGTATTTCATGGCCCCTGAGACCCCCCCCCCCTCCTTGGGCCCCATTGTCTATTTGAGGAATGTAAAATGACTTTTCATTGGATCCTTCAGAAACCCCAATCAATAGTCCTTTTGGTACCCATTAGGTTTTTTATTTTATTTTTTTGCATCCCCCCACCCCCCTCCCCGACTAATAAACAAAAGATGTGTTGGGACAACCATGTACACAATATGTCTTGCACACACTGATGCATACACACCAAACAGGGATAAAAGCAAACTCTGTCTTGGTTCTACTCCTACTGCTTCGGTCTTGTCCTCTCCCCCTCCCTCTCGCTGCCTCGCTCCCATTCTTGAAAGAGAAGACTTACTCTGAACTCGGGGCTTTGATATGGTAATGTAATGGTTGGGGTTGGAGGAGGGGAGGTGGGCCATGGGGGAGGGGAGGTGAATTCCTATGAGTACTGCAGTTGGTTAGATTGTTTTCATTGTAAAGGAAATGTTCTGCGCAAATGTCAGTACACACCCTCCCCCTCTGCCACCACCCCAAAACACCCCCATTTTACAACAGTTCCAGTGCTGTTCTAAGCTCCCACATGAAACATGACCTCTGTCTGTGTGAACTATAACTTTTGTCAATGCTTTATTGAAGATGCACTACAAGGAGGACATGAAATTACTTGAAGGGACTCTGCGAATGATCAAAGAAGAGTCTGTGGTTTTTTTACTCCCTTGTTCCCATGGGTATTTGTTGTAAAAAATAGCTCATGGTGCAGTGGGACAACTAATACCAGCTCCTCAGATAAGCCCCTGCAGTTCATTAGTTGTCCTTTAGTTTTGGGCATGTGTTTCCTTACTTTTATTTCCTTTTGATGTTAACATGCCGATAGTGAGTCTGTCACTCACTCTCCTCTGCCACCTTTATCAAGTCCATCTTTTCAAGCTTGAATATTTACAGCTGTTTATTTTTGGAAATGTTTTAAATGATTGTAAAAATAGTATTGCAATAGTTATTCTAGATCCATATATTTGTTTTTGTTTGTTTTTTCTACCGTTTTAAAGACTTCAGTATTATTTCAGGCCTACTCCCTTCCCCATCACAAGGACAAGTTCACAGCCATCAACCCTGTACATCCAGATGGGCTGTCTGACAAACGTCTCTGATATCAATCTACTAGTTGTATGGATGCAGTGGAAAGCTATCTTGTCTGAAACTGAAAAGATCAGAAAGATCAGCTTTGTTTTGCATTAGCATCTTTGTTTAATCTACTGATGTTGGACGTGTGTGTATAAATCTGCATGTCGGCACTCCTCAGGAACACAGCATTGTCTGCAACAAGTAAGACAATCTCATGAACTTGTGACGTCGACTATTTTGTTGGACTTTGATTGCTGTCTGCCCAACACACACACACACATACACACACACACGCACTGAAGCCTTTTTTGGTCTAGGAAGGGCCCTGTGAAGAAGGTACATAAATTCAAACAGTCATTAAATTTTCAGTTTATTATTAAAACAGCTGAAGTTGTTTGATTGTGTTTGGATATATTTTATTTAAACAGGAAAAGCAACGCACGTTATTTTTGCTCAACTAAATCTGCTTAAATATAGGCTTAAAAAAGCTGATCTGAAAAGAATATTTCTTTCATTGGTAAAAATATTTTTATTTAATCGATGCCTGGTTCATTTCTTATCAGAAATAAGCATGTTGGTTGAATATAAACATTTTAAAATCCAGAACTGCCAAACATATTAATTATTATGTGGTTTATGGGTGTATAGTCCCTTTTTCTGCCAAAATGTGGAATATGGTGGCATTGTTCTTAGGGCCTATGGTATATGAAGCTTGAATGATTGAAAATTAATCGTTACAGAAAGTAAATTGTTCGACGAGAAGTTAAGTGAACTAACTCTAGTCCTTAAACTAAAAGTTCATTCAGAAAAATGTTTATACAGACAAAAATTATTAACTATGATTTTTTTTAAATTATTTAGAATCCATCCATCCACAATCCTTTTAACTATCTTGACCTTTTGTCATGCATGTTTCCACTGTGGGGTCAAAAACTGGAGCCATTATGTAGATCACGTCCGGTGATGCCTTCTTCTGCGAGACTGTTGCTGCAGTCTGGGGATACGGATCTTGGCCACTGCAGAAAGCAAAATGCTTGTAAAACGGAAAAATCAGACCAATTCAGCATTAATATCAGATTGTGTCATAGCATTCATAGTTTAAAAGCTAAGAACTGTCACTCCAAACTTTGTGGAAATCTCTGTTCTGATCCAGACTCTGGAGTGTGTGTATGTCAGAGAGAGGGAAGGAGTTCCAGTTGGAAAAATAAAATATGTACCAATAAAACTGCAAAAACTGTCTCACAGAGAGTTACTCCAGGCCTTCTGGAAATATCTAACTGCATCACGTTGTAACTTGATATTTCTGATGCAGTCTTATGTGTTCGCCCCTTTTTTTTTTTATTAATTTTTTAAGAAAGGGGATGAAAGAGAACTCTGGTCAAAATTTACAAACTGTGATTTTGAAAACACAATTTATAATCGTTTCATTGTGATTAAAATCTGAAACTGAATTACAGTCGCTTCTAGTTCAAAGAAATTTAATCTACAGATCTTTAATAATTAAAGGCTGTGAGTTGTGTCCCAGAGGGACAATAACAACATGCATTCATGCAGCAGTGGCAGTGTTTCTCCTCCATTCAAACTTAAAATCTATTCACAATCCACAATCCTTAGCAGTTGTGATTGTGTTATTTTGTATCCTGGAAGGAAAATACGATAAAATTCTTGTAAGGTTTCTGGATTAAACCCTTAAAATCCCTGCTTTGACCCAGGAAATGCACCTAAAGTACAATAGGCATTTAGTCTGTGGACAGTTGAAGATCAAGCCAGACAGCTTCCTGCTGTGAGGTGACTGGTTTAAAGACCACTGGGAAGCCTGCTGAACTGGTTAATGCTGAGGAATTTGGGGAGCCAGTTGTAGTTTGAGATTTATGGTTTTATTTTTTTTTTATTTTTTTAATTGTAGTAAAATCAAACGACAAACATTTCAACATAGTTGAAATGTTACTGGTGTCTCAACAGAGACAGTTTATTACTTTTGGGGATTTGAATTTTTCAAAA